AGAAGATACAGGGAGCTTGCAAATACCTCTCCAGAGCCAGCAGCAAAGACAAAGCCTTACCCACAGTTATTACCTGCTTTTCCTGTACACAGTTTCCCAAACACATGTAACTTAGCATGACCTTTATGGTATTTTTTAATATGCAAAATAAAAACATAAGGAAAGGTAACAGAAGTGAAAGAGGAGAGGACAAGTGTCATTTGTGTATGGAATGCAAGCAATCCCCCATGCTCATCGACACAAATTTATCAATTCCCAGAAAGGATTAATCCCAACAGCAGGCACCTCCTGATCTGCAGTGGATGGGATAACTTGTCAAGGTCCCCGACGTATATCCCCTTCAAAAGGGACACACGTGCAGTTACACCACCACAGTGAAACTCTCTGGCCTTTGGGCCAGGCCATAACAAAGATGACAATCAGCATCCACCAGAAGAGGAATTTGTAAAATGAGGGTGAAGTCACTGTTAAGTCTCTGTCCTCATGAAATATTTTTAAAAGGAAAAGATGAAACAAGGAGACTTATAAAGAACTACATTTATTTTTTTTTTTTTTACAGCAGATATCGTAAGCTAAAACAACTTCCACTGTGTGCAAAATACAGAATTTCCATGTGAAAATTTAAATACGGCATTAAAAACTATTTAATAAAAATATTCACTTAAGATTATAAAGTAAAATGAAGACAGAAGATTTAGGAGGAGGAGGACAGAATCCTCACTGACCAGGAGGAGCCAGGAAGACTCTGCAACAGAGGGTAAAAAACACAGCAACAGGAAGTGGTTTGAAATGGCAGACCTTCACATCACAACCTTCGTCTCAAAGCATGCTGAGCTTTGTAACAAAACACTGTAGGCCTGAAATACATGGGAAGTCATGTCCTAACTGTGCAGGAAGTGATGCTTAAAATATGGAGAGGTTTCTGTGCAGGCACAGTGTGGGGACATTCAAAGCCATCAAGACATTTCAGGATACCTACACAAATAATACTATTGCTTTAGACATGCAAGCATACAGGTCAGCAACATAAAGGGTGGGGCTCAGACCCTGCAGCCCTTCTGCATTCCTGGCCGAGATGTGTGAAATGGGGCAAGTGGAAGAGGATGTTTGGCCCATCCTGAAAACTGCTGCTTAGATCAGTCCCCAAAGGTTCCTTTGAAAAGGATCCTCAGCAGCAAAGGCTGGGTTATAACCTTATCAACCAAAACCTTAGCACACTTGCTTGTCAGACTGAGCCCTTGGTTCTTGTTTGGATTCATTTCCCCTTCCAGATTATCAAAATGTGATTACACATACTGGAATTTAAGTTAAAAAACGCATACAAAATAATCACACAAATTTGTCACAGTGTAGTGGCAATGTCTCATGCAGCAAGGCAAATCCATTAATCAGTGGCAAACAGGACCCAGTTAATGACTTAACAAAACAATTAAACCCAAAACACTCTGGCTATATGAACTTGCCATTTTGATATTGCAGACCAAAACTAGCATGCACATGTATTGCTGTCAGGCCTGCCTACTTGGAGTGGCAGACTGGAATTTGCATTGCTTTGGCTAGTTGTTCAAGAATCCTTTTACATTGTACTTTTCCAGTATGAAAGCAAAGCAGTGGTTAGAAAGTGCCACAGTGCTCAAACATTGCCTGCTCATTGCATGTTTGAGCTCAACGGAAAGGTGCTCATGGCAGTTTTAAGCTCAGTGAAAACAGGTGTTCACACTAACCAGGGGAGTCTGCTGGCTAATATTGTTTTGACCTTATTTTAAATCCTTCCTTCATTATTTTGACGCAAATAAGGCTCTAGCTAGTTTTTTCAAGAAACAATGTACTTGCCTAACTTACCTTAAAGGCACAAGGAAGAGAACATGCACAGACACAGAGAAAAACATTCTCTACAGAGAGTGCAGACGTTGCCTTTTCCAGAACTGTGAATTCAGCAGCAGGTTAAATGATCATGCCAAAGCTTGCATCCATTAATATACCAGACACACACAGTTTCCTCCAAAAGTCTTTTAAAAAGGTGCAATGAATTACTGTCAAACAATAGTGTTAGTCATGCAATTTTGGAACTGGCAAGCGGAAAAAAAATCACCTGAGAGCAGAAAGGCTTCAGCCAGTGAGTGGGTGCAGCACCGGAATGATGAATTGGACTAAAAGCAACAAGGGAGATTGACAGAGAAGACAGCAAGAAAAAAAACATAGAACTTAACTTGATTATATAGGTAAGTAACAGAAAGATTATGTAGGCACAAAGAAGAATTGGCCAAAATGAAGCTGCCTTTTGAATTAAATTATGAATGAGGGCAAATAGATATGGATCTTACTAGCAGAATATTAAGATGAAGCAATTTTATAAAAAAAAAAAAAAAAAATTAAAAATCTACCATTTAGATTGATACCAAGTAAAAACCTTCCCAACACCCGCGAACTCCCAGGGGAATATGCATTGTAATTAAGAGTCCTCAGGAAAATGTTTTCATTACGCAATACCCCGAATTCCATTGTGGAAATGTAGGGGGTTTCTTCCTCATTATATATAAATATAAATAAAGCAAACACCATCTTTTAATTTATCTTTTTTTAAATTTTAAAGTGTTCTACTAGTAAGATTGACTTGCTTCAAATTAATTGGACATCAGAGATTTCCAAGTTTTTCACCATTATGATTACTCTGCTGAAAAGCAGGAAATTTCCTGTAGTAAACAGCAGGAGAAAATTTCAGGAAAAAACCAAAAACTGAAATTAAAACTGATGGCAAGCCAAATTGTAAATCTTTACCACTTAACAGATGCCTGCATTGCAGGATTAACACAGTAAATTGCACTGCAGATTTTTTCCTTGTTAGGGTGGAGCAATTACTATCATTAACAAATAATTTAGAAGTATACCATATTCCAAGGTAGCATTTTAAAAATTCTATAAAAGAGGTACAGACATTTCTTTCCAGATATATACAGATGTCCACCATGCTACTATCATTGTCATTGTGTCCAGTCAATATTCCAGCAAAATTTTGCTAAATGCATTTTTGAGTATTAATGGCAATTTCAAACAAATGCTTCCTTATACCTAAATAATTTTTCTTCAAGCAGTTTTTCAAGTTCTGTGCATGTACTTTTTTTCTTTCCAAAATACATAAGCACTGTAAAATGTAAAAACCTTTATCCTCATAGCTTAGAGAAAACCTGTCTAGAAGAAAAATCCAGTTTACAATTTATTTTAAACAGCAGACACATTTCCTTTTAATACCTAATAAACAAAACAATTCAAATAATATTTTCCCATATTATCTTAAAAAAAAAAAAAAATCAAAAACCTGCCAGCCCATAAGCAGGCCAGGTATTTAAGAAGACTTGAAGGCAATAGTCAACTTTGGTACTAACTGAATGTGATATTACTTCCTATTATTTATACCACATTGTTTTGGCTAGAAATAAATGCTACAGATGCTTTTAATTTTAGGCTGTACGTATTACCATATATATGTATTTACCTATTTCCTGATTATCTTCTGAATTTAAACATTTAAGTATTTGAGAGGCAGGGAGCATGCTTACATCTTTGGCTGACCAAAATAAAAGTAAATCAGAATTTGGAATGCTGGTGATTCCTTGCCATTAAATAGCTTATTCAACCAGTCCCAACACCTTCTGGTTCAGGTAGATCTTCTTGACAGACATTTGAAAGAAATTTACCTAATGGCTGCTCCAGATTATAGAATTTCACCTTTCTGCCATCAGCTTTATACATTGAATGAAATATCCAGCTAAGAAGTAACCTCCTTAGAACGTTTCTAGGTTTTTATTGTTTCTTCTAAACTTGTATTTTAAAAACATTCTAAAAGACAATAGAAGCAGTGCCTACCCAGAGGCACATCAGCATTGATTTTAGTTACAGTTGAATGTTTCATAAATTGATATTCCTTGAATCAGCCACCTAATGAGGAAGTCTGTACTTGAGGAATAAATCAAGCATAATTACACTACCAGTTCCTTTGGCTTAGTTTCAATCAAGCCTTCACTCAACTAAGATTTGTTCTTCAAATTTATTTCAAAATTTTAAATAAATTAGTAGTCCACGTTATACCCACTATCAAAAAAGGGTATCTATCACATCTAAGAAATGTATAAGGCATGACTAGGAACAATGTAAATTAAGTACTTTTTTTTTTTTTTTTAACATAACAAGTTATAAACCTCATAACACAGAGCAAAGATGAAAGCAAGACAACAAAAAAAAGGGTATGTGCCATGTCCAGGTTTCAAAACCCAGTTATTTATCAAAAACATTCCCCAAACTTCCAAAAGAACGTACATTCTTTCTTGGTGTAACAAGGGGGGGGGGAGGGAGGGCAAGAAAGTGTAGAGGGAATGGCACAGGAAGAAGAATGGTCTTAAAAGGTACCACTCCACCAAAGGTCTGATCACAAGATGGAATGGGGGGCAAAAAACTAAACCTCCAAAATATCCTTCATCTGTCCCCATGTTCTGGAAATGTGTCTGGACACTGCCCTTCATGCTCTAACATACAGTACATTTTTTATCAAAAAATTTTGATTGCACCTTTTTTTATATCAGGAGTCCGCTGTTCATTTAACTCACGCATTAAATTGCGTGACCAGTAAAAAAACCAAAAAAAACTATCAAGAAAATAGCAAAGCTGTTAATTTTGAAAATCTGAAAGGCACAACTGAGCAAGACACGTAGAAGAATTTAAACCCTACAGATTCTTTTTTACCCATTCAAGCACATTCTCAAGTGATAGCTCTGCTTCCTGGTACATATGAGTAAGTACCTCTAGAAGAGCACAGAGGAACGGCACACCAAGGCTCAAGAGTTCGTACAAGTAGGTATAGTTATATGCATTGTCCCTGAAATGAAGATTGGTAGCGTGCAGAAAACCATGCATCCAGTTAGACAGGCGTCTGGGAATGTCAAGCAGATCCCTTGTCACCCGAAGGGGCCAGCTTAGCGTGCCCCTAAAGAAGGAAGTCAGGATACCTGGGGACCTGTCCTCTGGACTGCTAGCAGTAGACAAAGTGCTTTCTGTGGTGGTCACTGTGGGTTTGGGTTCCTCTTTCCTCCATGTGTCTGTGGCCTCCTGATATAAAGCATCAAAAAAACATTAAATATACTTCTAAAAATGGAAAATCTAGTTTCTGTTACTGTTTTCAAGTTTTTATATATATTGACATTTCCAATTGTTCTTAAATTCAACTTTACTTTGTATAGGAAAAGCTAATTGAGAAACAGACTATAAATATGTCAAATTCACAGAAACAGGAGGTTGTATTTCAGTACTGATTTTAGTACTCCTGGACGTCAGATAGAAAAAATATCTTACAGAAGCATTGCACCCTGCCCCAGGTAAAGCTATCTCAACATTTTCTGCATTAGTAATATAACCAATACGTACCTTTCCCCGGATCTGTAATGTTGCTCTTCTCTTTCTGTGTTTAGTACTGATTTTGCAGTGTGTAAAATGAGGTTTACAGTAAAATTTACCTACAAGAGAGAAAAAAAAAAAAAGTTATATTACCTATACTTCTATAGGCTGAAATCCCACTGTTGCATCTATAAAAAGATGAAATTAAGATAATTAATAGTTGGGTAGCAAAAGGAATAGGAAACTTGCCACTGACTGAGAACAGCTCTAAGCTCTGGACATGTTTCTTTTCCAGGGCACAGATTTGCACGTTTGTTAAATAAGGGAAGGTCATTTATCTATCACACTGCTGTAAGATTAATCTCTAGCAGAAGAACAAGATTCTATAAATACCAAGCCACAAACCAACACAAGACATCAAGTAGCAAGAAGTCAAATGATCCATTCAAAAAAGCCTTTGCAGAAGATTCTCTGGACTGCAAAAGAGCCACCTTTGGCTTGGAGTCTTTAATCCTTTCATGGAAGAGCATGTTAATACTCTGATTACCAACATGCAAATAATTTCGAAGTGGCAAGGAAATCAGAATTCAGTTTAATAATTTCCCTCTAAACTAAACTTAAAAAAAAAAAAAAAGAAAAAAAGAAAAAAGCATGGAGGAGAGGAATTATTCCCCATCTCCAAACCCCAGGCTGTAGGTGGGATTGAGAACCCAAGATCTGAACCTCCTGTTCTGCAGCAGCCTGGAATAAATAACACTGCTACTGGGCCAGTACTACTGCTTTCAACTCCTGAGGCACAACAGCTTGAAAGAATCAAGATCCCCCCCATCTGTGTAAATCTGCCACTATCATGGTTTATCCTTATAAATCACTTTATTTAATGGCTAGTTACAAACAAGAGATGAAAATAATTCTGTATTGTTGGAGCAAAATCACCTCTTTTCTTCCCTGCTTTGACCTGTGATTGAACAAACTGCATTTTGGTCACTCAAATTCTTTTCCACTGAGGATTTCTTCATTTAAAGCTCAGGTATGTCACAACTGAATTCTTTTGAAAGACCAGGACTACAAGTGCAAGGACTCAAAGATCATGGACACAAACAACATATTTGGCAGACCTCCTCCTGACCAAGCTACTCGGCCAGGTCTTTTTCCCTAGTTCCATTAAAAACATTAATATTCAGACATTTTAAAATAATCTTAATAGCTCCTATATTACCTTCTTCAACATCAAAGGCATAAATTCCTAGACGGAGTGTTGTAGAACATATTTCACACTTGAAGCACTCCCTGTGAAAGAAGTGGCCTTCTGCACTCAGACGCTCCATAACATATACCCGTTTTTTGCAGAAAAAACAAATGTCACTCCCACCAACAGACTGAGGAAATTCTTTTCGCAGAGATCCCTGTTAAAAGGTAAAAATAGAAACGTGCATAAAGCCATTGCACTAAACCTAGGTATTACGTGGACAGCTGATTTAGCAGCTGCACAGCACCATCCACACTCAATTAAAATAAGCATCGGTTGGCTTTTTTATTACTCATCTGCTGCAATTCTGGAGGTTTTTGCAGCAATTCATAAATCAGACATCACAGGGACTTTATGGGGTGAGCTTCAAGCTGGACTTGCATCCAGCTGGGAACTCACCAACATTTTGTATTTACTTTGGTACAAGTGCAGCATGAGCCCCAAAGGCTCATTAATCACCCTTCATGGCGCTGGCATCTCACGACTGTGGGCATCCGTGGTTGTCAGCAGAGGGCAAAGGCAGAACTTGCCAGCTTCCAACAACAGACACATTTGGAGCAAAGAGAACAGACGCCCTGAAGACTCAGTTCATATACACTACAGAGGAAAACGCAGGCTCGTGCTTTAAGGTCCAGGAAGAAAAATTGACAGACTCCAATGCTGGCGTCCGAACTACCATTTACTTTGCCACAGAAGTGCTTCCCCTCTCAGCCATGATCCTCCTGAGATTACAGCCCAAGCTGGGGCTTGCTTTGTTTTAAAAATCAATTAATTTCTACCACAGACATTCAGAATGTTTTTAACTCATCATACATTAGAATATAACCCATATTAACAACTTGAAACTATTTGAAAGTTTTTGTTGAATTTGGGTTGGAAGTTCAATTGTTTTAATTGCCACAAATCTCATCCTCTCTGGATAGACATGTAAAAGGTACAGAAAAAACAAATTATAAATGGATTAGGTGCCGCTGGGCTTCCCTTTTCTTATTAGAGGCAGGTGTGAGGATGTTACTTTGCATTATTGTATTATGCTTACTTACAGGTGGGTACAGATAAGCATCCAGTCTCTACCACAGCCATCACCACCTCCCTCCCCTTTCACCATCCCTGCTGCCGCAGGAGAGGTTCCACACATGGGTCAGAGGAGTTGCAGGCTTGGCAGAGGCCAGGCACGTTCAGAGTGCACACAGTCCACATAACTCATCTTTAATTTTCCAGCAAAAGGCAGCCTTGGACAATTTTTTCAGTGGTAAGTGCAAGTCACAGTGGGCATTGTAAAACTGTTCTGTACTAAGTTCCTGTTCCAAATCTGCCATGAATAATCCATTTTGCTGTGATGGATCATTTCAGAGCATGAAACTTTCCAGAGTTATAACCATGCAAGTGGAAAAAGATACAAATGCACTTTTAAAAATATGATGTTAATAGAACAGATAGAAATAATGAAGCAGAAGCAACTGAGTTTAGTATTGGCTAATAAGTAAGTGTCATCACAACACAACACCTTGCTTCACTTCCCAATACCTGACAGCTCTGAGCAATGGAGGCAGGAGATGGAGAAGGAGGAATGGGGCAAGAACCTGTAGCTCTGTCCAGAGACCGCTTCTGAATTCAACACAGAACAGTGTCAGAGTTTAAAAACAGCTCTCTTCAAAATGAGGCACAGTGATTCAGCAGTTGTGTATTAAAAATAACTGTATAAACATGCACTCTATAAAACGTCCTTTAGAAGCCACCCTGATTAATAATTGTCTTCTGTTACTAGTTGTATGAGTAATTACATTTAATAAAAGCCTCTTGAAGTTTTAATGCCTATAGAAAAGTACTAAAAATATGAACAGAAGACATGGTGAGCAACACTTCCAGCACATCCATACATCAGCGTATTTTGTCAATATGCACTCAATGTCTTAATAAGTGCTAGACAAAGACCTTTCATATTGCTTAAAGTGTTCCATAACCAGGGTCTTAAGTCAGGATGACATTCTGGAAACATCACTCTTTTACATCAAATTATTTTTTCTTTGTGGGTTTAGCCTTACCAGTTCAAGGGGGGGAAGCTGTGGCTTGGGTCTGTGATCATTCACATAGAGATTGACAAGAACTTCAGCCACAGCTCCAATTGCACGTGAGACCTTTCCTACAGTCATCTAACCAGAAAAGAGGAGAAGATGAACAATAGAAGGAAGAGCTTTAGTTATTCTTGAAAAAGAATTTCATGAGAAAAGTATGAGAATGATTTGAAAGCATGCAAACAATTATAAAGAGAGGCTAGGAGAAAGAGACAGGCAAAGCCTAACAGAGCACAAGCATGTTCATGCATGATCAGCATGGTCCAGCTGGTGGCCACAGAAGGCTTCCATGCAGCCCACACACTTCTCCTGAGGACGATGGAGAAATAGCTGCTGGGAGCAACTGCTGCTCCCACAGCACGAGGCCTCCTCCTGCCGTGTCCACAGAGAGGCTGAGCTGGGAGCTACTGCTTATCAGGGTTGGATCATTCTGATAGATTAAAAATACTCCATTGTCCACTTTGACTTCTTAGGACTTTGTTGCTATATTTCACAGCACAGAGTGAGGACTAAATTTCACCTTAATGGACTGCGAACTGTGGTGTTTCAGGAAACATTCTATGAAAACATCCTAGAAATCCTGCATGGAAATGGTCTGTTGATGATCACAGAGCAGCCACTCTCCCTTTTCCCAGTGACTCATCTTAACACCAGGGAAAACTACACTCATGAAGGGAAGACACCCCCTTTAATCTGCTTCATCACTCTGTCACAGCCATGAAATTATGCTGTTTCTAATCAAATTGATCAAATAGCTAGGCCAGCAAGGACACTGTAGTTCTTTAGGCTGTAGCTCCACATGTGCTACAGCCAGACCACTGACTGCATGGTCGAGGCTTCCTTTCCAAAACATGTGCCAGGGATGGGAAAAGAAGAAAAGCGTGTATGCATATGTGTGTGAGTGGCAGGCAGGTAGACACTCTAGTTCTCTGTTCCTGGGGGGGAAAAAAAAAAAAAAAAAGTCTGTAAAGACCCTGTAGACTTACAGTAGTATTTTCTACCCTAAACTAGATTTCCTGTAGTGATTTTGATTTTAGTTTTATATCTGAAATGCTGGGGTCTGAACCCCGAGCCCCGAATTAAGGTTGCCATATGGGTGATTCCCACAGCCCTTCATACAGAGGGGGTGAGTTTGCCTTATAGCTTCCCCCCAGGGTGCGGCCGGCCCTGCAGGGAGAGCCAGAAGGGAAATGAGCCCCAGGGGTCCCGCAGTGAGTTGACAAAGGTCAGGGGTCTGCTTGGGGATAAAAGCTGGGACCACTGGCAGGGAGTCAGGAGTGTCTGTCTGTGGAGTGCACTCCACAGAGCTTCCTGGTTCAGGAGAGACCTCCTGACTCTCCCTGGAGCTGGGCCCCAGTCAGCTTGGACCTTTGTAAACATGGGCTAGGAGAGTGAGAGCTGGCCACGTGGCCACCTTCATCTTATGTGATTAACCAGTTGACTTGGTTGTTTCCCATTCCACCTATGGGAAACCTCGGTTCCTTGTTTGTTCTGCCTATTGTTGGTCGTGCACTATCGTTGTTGGGATTGCTGGGGGTGATGTTGATTGCCTGTGAACTAACTGACTTATTTTTACCCCTGGAGATTATTCATGGAGTGAGTTTTCTATATTCAATACAGTCAAGTTACTGGTTTGTCTTTCTGCTGGCTGTGTCATTCATGCTAGGCCAAGTAATTGGCAAGACAATATCTCACAGCCTCTCTGGTGGCAAAGGCAGAAAGGGCCATTCTGGTATGGCCAGAAATTTGATACTCTGCTTCTGAAGCCAGGAGTCTGGATTTTTTTTTTTTTTTTGAAGAAACTCATGAAACAGGGTGTCAGTAGCTCTGTTTTTACTTGGGACTCTCATGCAGAAAGGAGATTTGCTTGCCACGCCCCAAAGATGACAGAAAATATCAGGGTATTATTTTCCTAAGAAAATGAAGAATACTGGGAGGAGTTTGTTCAGCTGAACACACTTTTATTAGAGAGAAGGCCTGTGAAGGAATATGATTCCTAGTGACACTGGAGCCTGGAACTTTATATTTGCTGTCAGACCTGTTAATTTGATCTGTCTGACCTGAGCATTCAGAACTTTTTTTTTTTTTTTTTTCCCTAAGGGGTCCATGATCTCATATCTTATGTGCCATTTGCCTCCCATAAAACCCAGATTTTAGGTCCCACACTTCTCAGTGAAATGATTTTTCTACTGCCACTACACCAAGTCTTGCTGACAGAAAAGTTTTAAATATTAGAAAGTTAAGCACAAAGAAAGGAAAAGAAAATATAAAAGCAATGGTATCTAGAGGGGCTCAATCCGAGTCAGCAGTGTGTGCCCTGGCAGCCAGGAGGGCAAACCCAACCTGGGCTGCAGCAAACGCAGCACAACCAGCCTGCCAACAGAGGTGATTATCCCAATGTATTCAGCTTTGGCTTGGCCTCGCAGGGTAGTACTGTGTGCAGTTCTGGGCTCCACGATTTAAGAAGGATGTGGAGGTCCCTGAATGCATCCAGAGAAGAGCAACAAGGCTGATGGAAGGGCTGAAAGGCACATCCTATGAGGAGTGGCTAAGCACTCTACAGTTGTCCATTTTGGAGAAGAGGGAGGCTGAGGGGTGACCTCATTGCTCTGTACAATGAGCAAACATGGAGAAAGAGGTGCTGATCTCTTCACCCTGTATCCAGTGAGAGGATGTGTGGGAATGGCTCAAAGCTGCACCACAGGAGATTCAGACTGGACATTAGGAAGTGTTTCTTTACTGAGAGATTGGTCAGACACTGGAACAGGCTTCCTGGAGATGCGGTGGGTGCCCCAGGCCTGCCAGTGTTTGAGAGGCCCAGTGTTGGACATGCCCTTAACAACGTGCTTTCACTTTTGGTCAGCACTGACTTGGTCAGGCAGCTGCGTTAGATGATCATTGTAGGTCCCTTCCAGCTGAAATAGTCTATTCTACTCAAATGCGATTCAATCACAAAACATAAATATCATGGCAGGATGAGAATCCACCAGGGCAACCCCACGAGCACCTGCCACGATCAGAAACCTGTAAAGAACAAGGGACAAGGGTGTGCAAGAGCAGTACCTCCAAGGATTGTGACCTCCACGCTCCTATGACAATACCACAACTGCTGAGCAATCCCGTGTCTTCCCTAAACTTCACCCCACTGATGGACAAGGACTTCAGTAACATCCTCATCCATTTAACAGCTTAAGTGCAATCAACTCCAGCTGCAGGAGGGAGGGTCTGACCCCAAATCTACAGACATTACTTTACAGAACCTGTCAGCTCTTACATGGATTAGCTTTAGTTAACAGCATACAGATCTCTGCCCACCTGCTGCTGCTCACGTACCCTAGAAACTAAGTATACACATAATAGGTTTTACATTGTACTCATGCACTTACTCCCTTAGCCCTTGAGGTTACTGGTGTATGTTAAGTCCCACACACACATACAGTTTTGTAGTTCTGGAGCCACTATCAACACATAACAGTTCAAACAGGTTTATAACAGTAGCTTTAAACTCTTTGTTGGAAAGGAATCTTACAGAGTTGCCTTAAGTGGTGAATTTCAGGAAACAACAAAGAAAACACTTAAAAATTCCCTAAGTGTTTGTGACTTACTAAGATTTTACAGGTCTTTACTAAGACCCGTCAATGACGTGTTGCCAAAGCTTTTCAGCAGGTTGATCAGGGTGATTATTCATGTGGGGAGAGAGAGTTGTGTTCTGCATTTCCCTTTGCTGTTATCTGTAACACCACAGCCAACCAAGAGGTAAACCTCAGTAGTATTTTCATAAGACAAAGGGAATATGTTCTCCACCCCTAAAAACAATCAATGCTTCTCCTTTGTTGTTTTATATCCTTAATGATTTTTCTTATCTTATTTTGCTTTGAGGGTGATTTATTTACTTTGGTACCACCTGCTACATATATTTTACCTCTGAGATAAACAACATTTGAGTAATAAGGTACTGTGTGTAGGAAACACCCAAGCCCTGCTTACTGCTTGTAATTTGAGTCGCGTCACTGAAAGGAAGTAGTTGGTCCAAACTCAGCAGGCAGCAAAGTCTATTGATTGCAACATCTTAATAGTTCTTATGACATATTGTGTGAAGGTCAATCCAACGTTAAACAGCAAACAGGAATAACCAAAGCCCAGTCTGTACTATAATATTTGTTAATTCATAATTCTACCTATGTGAATCTTGACAGCTGATTAAAGCTAGAACGTAATTTTGATTATTACTAGTGAACTTGTGTATAGCGTCACATAGAAGCTAATTCTTAATAAGTTGTAATGACTGCATGCGTTTAAAACAAACAGTATGTTTCCACAGCCTTCCTTTCAAGTGCTCCTTTCACGACTGAGTCTTAATAACAGGTTTCTCTAATAAGACAGTATGATTTCTTAGCCACCATTTTCAATAAATATGCCACCATAACTAATACTGTTCCAACAAAAACTCAATAGCTGTAAAGGAACATCATGTCTGATAATCTCAGTACTCACTTGAAATTAAAATGACAGTACTAACTATTTAAAGAATGGGACAGTGCTGATATTTGTAGGTCATAGCCCATGAAGTCGTACAAAACTAAAAAAAAACTTCTATTATCTTCTGTTCTCATGGGAAAAAGCAGGAACTCTGAGAGTGACACAAGGGAGCTCTTTCTGTTGGCTTACCAATAAAGAAGATCTTTTTCGTACTGGAGTCTACACTTACCTAATGATATCTCTCAGAACAGAGATCAAAAATAAAAATTTTGAGTCCTATAGCCCCACCCTCAAGATAACACAAACACAGGCAATTACCAGTACACATTTGCAACAGAGAGGTCCAAGTATATTATTGTATTGTCATCCAGAGCACTTGAAAAAGCACACTGCACACCTGAAATATTACCAACTCTTATTTATATAATGCTGCACATTTAGCCAGTGTTTTATAGATTATGATAAAGTTTTCACATTCTGAAAAGTGTGAGTTCTTTAAAGATAAAATATGGGCACAACGATTTAACCATGAAAGGGCACAGTCTGTTTGTTATGAAATCAAGGCTGCAGGGAGTGTTCCCTGAAGATTTACCACTTTTACAGTAGAAATAGCAGTAAGAAATCTGCTTCTGGAATTTTTTTAATTGAGAATTAACAAAAGATAAGCCAAAATACAGCCTGTGTAACTTGAAGATGAACAGAAGTTGCCAAAGAGAGGTAAAGCTAAAGTTACAGGGGTTTCACAGGACAGAACTGGCCTCACAGCACATGAATACTATGAAGAGCAAAAGTCTTAACACCTCACCAGCACACCACCAATGCAAATAATGATCCTGGACACAGGTCCAAAGGGCCATTGAATCCATCCCCTGTCCCATGGTGGGATGCACTTTACTTGTGTAAAGTAAGTGCACATTGGCATACCCTGCCCAAAAGGCGTCCGTGCTGCAGACTGCAGGGCTCCCCCAGTACCTTGCTCCTTACTCTTCAGGGGTCCCCTATCCCCATCCCCAAGCCTGACCTGAATCTCTGTTTCTAAATTGACCATCAATCACCCTTTACTGTGCCAACAGTGGGCATGGAGGACAGGTACCCTCCCCGTTCTGACACATCCATGCACAGGCACCATTGCTGACTGACTCTCTCTAATCCCTCCACTCCCTCTGAGTTACCCCTGCAGCAAGGACGGCACCCACGTCGCTTGTACTCACTGGTGACCCTGGAAAGGAAACTCAAAGTTGTTTGGTGGTGTGTGTTTTGTTTCCTTTTTTTTTTTTTAAAGTCTAATTACTACTTTTCCCATTGAAATATCTACGGTAATCCATCATCACTTGGGTTTCCTTTGGATCAGCCTTCTGTCACTGCATCTGCCTCAAAAGGGAGGAGAGTCTACCTGTTCATTATCAGACCCGCTCTTCAAACATTCTGAAATATGCTGTGCCAAGGGTACCATAGTTAGGCACAGGTAATGCATACAGTGTACTGATCAAGAGGACCTGAGCCTGTACAACCCTACGGAGCAGTATACTAGGCATCCAGATGTTCATGCATGTAGATCTGCTAAAGGCATACATGTAGTCCTACCTCACCAACCAAATATTTACCAAATGAGATGAACATATATTTACTCAAAATATTTGTATAGCTGTTGCAGCTGTGCTGCACTCTGCCATTACCTCTGAGGACAGCGTTCTTCAACTGAAGTAAACTCGGCCTGAGTGAAATCAAGTCACTACAAACTATTGCTACACCATTTAAATACAACAGCAAACTAATAAAAGGCTGTGAGTGGACTCTAAACAAAATGCAGTTGAATTAAAATATCAAAAAATGACTGCTCAAGCCAGATGTTCTCTAAGAAAGAATTTTTAAATCTCAGTAAAATTATCACTCACAGTTTCCATATGATTAAGACACAAGTTCTCATATTCTAATTCAGGGTTATTCCTGGGGAATGAGGAGAAGGGAGTCTTTTCAACACAGCTCTCTCTCAACTGAGGAATGTGCCTTTGCAAACTGCAAGTCAGATCAGTATCTACTTGCTCAGTTACAGCTCAGGCTGTGAGCTCAATTTCCAACCAGCATTAACAATACGGTGCAAAATAACCTAAAAACAACTAGACTAATTCCACTAAATGACCCTGCTGAATGTTAAGCAGGTGGGAAATTACCTTTAGCCATGGCTTACCTGAAGTTGGGCAATACTCATGAGTATTTCATAAAACTACTGTTATTTAAGTACCCCAAAAGCAGGCACAATGCTTTTCTCCTCCTCCTGCATTGGGTCACAGCAGTCATCTTCAACACTTCTAGAAACTTGACATTTCCACCTGTATTTCCACACCAATCTTATTCAGTACTGCAGTGTTCCCAGACAGCTGCTACATAATCTATGGGTGAAGGGAACCTAGGCCTTACCTGCCTTGACAAGCTGAAGAATATCAAGCTTCTTCCATTAAAATCCTTGTATTAAACAAGGGGAGTGAGAAGACAATGTCATCTTAACTTCCACAGATAAAAGCACAACCTGTTATAACATCAGCTGAAGTAGTAAGAGTTGAATATCTCCGACTCAAGTGTTATCTAATGGCTTTCACTGGACTATGCATATTTCCTCTCTGTAAAGTTAGCTGTTACAAAGAACTGTACTCTAGCAATTAATGTACAGAAACAAGTTTAAAATACAAATAAGTAAACAAAAAAAATCCAAATAAAATCTGTCTGTATCGAAAAGTGCACATACAATTCTAAGACATCCACTAGATAAAATTACTACTATTGTGCAGGTTCTCCTTTGCAGTCCAGACAGGCAGTCTTATGAAAAGACACACAACTGTCACCTAAGAACAACAAACCAATCCCATAACATCCAGTTAGCTATACAGTGTGAGGCTCTTTCTCTGCCAAGCATGTCTGTGGTATTATCCAACAACAGAACACTTAAAACAAGCAACAATGCAAAATTTTCAAAACTGAAACAAAAATTAACTATTTGCTTTGTTCTTCAGCTTTATACGTGAACTATTTTTAATGACAACTTTCCTCTTACACACAGAATTAACAGCGGTGAAAAAGTAAAGTTTGATTAAAATGTGAAATGCAACCTATACAACAGATCTGCTGACAGCACCTTCCAACCAAGCCACTTCTCAAGCAGCTTTAGCATGAGTTTGGATTTCATGGGAAAAATCTGTTCATAGAATACCTGTCTAGAAGGAACAGCAGGGGAAGCTGAACTGACAGATGATGGAGAAGAGGCAGCAGCTGAATCATGAAGTGGAGAACAGGAGGGTGTTGGGGGCTGAGAATGGGATAAGCCTTTAGTAGGTAGCTTATTCTGTGTAGAGCAGAAACAGGAGAGTTATCCAAGGGACAGTGACATCAGCACATGTTAAGAGAGCAATTTCAGTCATGCACAAAAAAAACAGAAAGATAACTACAATTCTGCTTTTTCTCTATTTCTGCAAACTGAGGAGCCATGGAAACCTTCACGGCAGTTATATTATCGTACTCAGTTTTCTTATTAAAAATAATTACTATGAGTACTAGGGTAAAATAGTGGTGGGAGAAAGCATAACAAAACATAAGAAATGCCAGACTTCACTAAGAGCTACTGCTCACCAATTCATTAGAAACTGTGAGTTACCAGCGTACACTTCAGCACAAGACAGTTTATTCTAACATTTCTCTCATGCTGAAGTACTCTGACTAGTTTTATGATTTAGATTGTGTTTTATCTCAATTAAATTCTGCAATAATATTTAAACAAACTTTTTTACCAGTTTCAGTGGAATCTACGTTGCTTTTCAGATCCACACAGGATGATAGGGAAGTTAAAAACAAAAACACTGCCATTTTTTTTCCCCCTATGGATTCTCATGTATCTTCTAAGTCAGTACTTCTTCAGGTGCAAACCCCAATATTCACCTTTGGAAACTCCATGTATCCAAACATTGAGGCAAAGTGTGCTGCCTTCTCTTTAATGTTCTTTTTATGGAATTCCCTATTTGCTATTGTCTGTGCTCTTTTCTGCAACAAAAGTCAGGGAAGCAAAGCGAAGAAAAGAAAGAGAGATTTAAGTTAATGACATATACGTCATCAAAGTACAGCAAGTTTGTTGTAAGATTTTGTCATTGTCTTAATATAACCTAAAGTCAACAGAGAAAATGCCAGCACCTGCAGGGAAAATACAGTATACAGATCAACGTATGCAGTTAAGAGACAGAAAGGAAAAGAAATTGCTGGTCACCTGTTTCATTTTTTCCTCAAGGTGCTGAAGACGCTCAAGCACTCCAGAAAGTACAAAGGCAGCAGAACAGACAGACGTGAGATTTTCAGAGGTTTCTGACACACTGGGCTGGATATCTCTTTTTTGTACAGTCTTTGCTCTCCTGGCCATATGATCAGAACCATTTAAAGACTGTTTGGGTTCCCTGACCTCATGTTCACTCCTAGCTACCACCTGAAACTGAGAAACACTTCAAGTGAAAAAAAAAAATGCTTTCTGCACTACCATGCAGTATATGCAGTTTTTAAGGATGCTTCAGAAAGCAGAGAGTCATGCACATAACTAGAAATAAAATGTTCTCACATCGCTCTTTGCACACTATCTACCACATCTCTAATGCTTGTGTCCATGCACTGAAACAAATGAGTCTACAGAACTTATGTATGTCTTGACAGCCTCCTCTGCATTTCTGTCAGTTTTTATTAATAACTCCAGACAGTATCGGTACAGAACATGGCACTACATCTCCTTCTAGAGCTTTTGGCAAAGGTTTTGGTGTTTGGGGTTTTTTTAATCATCACATCTGCTTGAAATTAAACTCACAATCAAGTTGTAAGAGTTTTTTTTTGGCATCATTCTAGATCTAGTCTGATCTAAGTCAAGCTGTGATGTATTTCAGATTTAAAGCATTTTCTGAGGAGTTAAGAACAGGTCTCTGAATTTGAATCTCCATATAAAATAGCTTTTGAAATAAATGAAGCATTTGAGCCAGTTTTTCTCTATCAAATTCAGTTTTAAACATGAACTCCCAGTTGGTCTTTACATGAGTTTTCTACCTCACCCTTCCTATCTGTCCAACTCAAATAAATACACAAACTTTCAAAATTTCTGAGAATTAAAATTAAAAAAAAAAACCAATGCAAATCAACTTGCAGTTGTTCCTAATGCTTCTGGATAGCACACGTACCTTTAAAAAAACAATTCTAAAACAGTTTATGAATCCACATCTTTCATTGAGCTAATCTGCATAAATCCACATGCAATGCAGATCTCATTTCATGGCATTCTACTCTTGAAACACCTCGACAGCATATTTACTTCCATTTAAAATTCTAATGTAATGTGAAAGTCAATGCTACTTGATATGAAAACTGCTTTCATTAGAAGTACTAAGAGAAAAATATGCACAATGTATTAAAAAATTCTGTCCCACATATATGATGCTGCAAAAGAGCTTTCAGCAGAAATTCTTATCACAAGTTCTCCTTAAAGAAATAAAAATGCCTGGGCATCAATATCAGATTTTCAATGCTCAAACTTTTATCTTAAGACATTTTTGACAGGTTTCTTGGAGTGGAAAACTACCTTCCCCTTATTGTTACAACAGCCCCAAACATTGTGTACATGCAGAGACAAATTTTCAAGTACTGTTGCAGTTTTCTCACATGTAAAATGCAGCTGTGTAATTACATTAATACAATTTGGAGTGTAGATGTGATAACACAGAAATTAACACCTATGTTTTTTAGTTTTTTTCCACGTTTTTCTTTCAAATAGTTTTATCATCTGGTCAAGTAGGTGTAAACTAACCTTAACCTTTAATGTGGTTTTCACAATTCTCAGCAAAACACGCCCTGCAGATTACATCCAAATATTGTTTTAGATATCTGTAGTCACACAACAATATTAGAGTTCCCAGCCTTAAGAGAGACAGCGTGCTTGTCGGGCATCACCCATACGAGTTCCTACCTGCCTTTTTGGTTGAGATGGAAGACTTGGATCCTTAGGTTTAGCAAAGCGAGGATTAACAGGAGGGTCAGAAGAGAGCAGGGCTGGTCTATCTACTAGCTCCTTGTAAAGCATTTTAAAAATTATAAAGTCAGAGTAGGAAAAAAAAGAGGAGACAGTAAATAGAATTCAAAGATCATTTGAGGCAGAAAGAAGTAAAAGCTGCTTTTAAAGATGCATTACTATGGAGCTTAACAAGACATTTAGCAGATTTTTGTCTTTTGTCATCTACTGATTTTATTAACCCCTTCTACCATCAAAGACACACTTAAAATTCAGCACATTCAGTCTTCTTTAAGAGAGGTTATGATAAAAGGTAACATATCAAGGCTTCCTTCAACATGGCCAAGCAAATCTCTGTGCATGTATCACATGCAGTAAGCTCAGGGCATTGACAAGAAGACAGAGCGTAAACAACAGTGGTTTAGGAGCTGACAAAGTCACTTGACATCTATACAGCCTACACTTCTGGAGGACTTAAATATGTAAATAAACAAATGGATACAAGCACAAAGAGTTAAGAAAGCCACCATTCCTGACAGAACCTCAACACCTTGCTCTTCCTTCCTTCAGATCTTTTAGATGATAGATATGAACTAGGCTGACTCAAACCATCTCACTGGCTAAAGGGTGATTATAAGTTTATTGTCTCTACCTTGGCAGCACAGGGTTATTTTTAAAACACCACTAGTCACACTAACAACAAACCATGAAAATGCTGTGGAATGCACAAATACATTCCGTTATGTGTGCTTTAGGAATGGAAATGGCAGACAAACACATCTTGCAAAACATTAGGTTCCCTTCTTATGCTTTCTAAATTTTCCACAAAGAAAGATTCCACTGGATCTGTAGGGTCTTTTAGTCATAGAATATAAGACAAAGAAGTCCTTCAGCAATACTGTATGCAGCCACCTTAGACTTGCACACAAAGCAAAAATTCTATAAACTAGCTTACAAGAGATTTCTAGACACTGCAATTCCACTACACTTTATTTATATATATCCCAATACACTATATTAATATGCACTATAGTCAATCTGTAATTTGGTTGCTGATTATTGAGAGGAATACCTTTAAATGACTGCAGTTTAATTTCAGAGACTACTTTTATGTTCATCTCCAACCTACCTGCCTCTGCAAAGTTCTACTTGGAGCATTCTCTTCAAACTTTGCCAACAGTTGAGTTGCCATTGATTTCACTTTATTCTGGTTTATTCCTTCTCTGCTCCCTTGGCTTGAAAAGTCTGAAGCCTGAAAAGAAACAAGAAACTATGTTTTTCTCATGTTTACCTATGACATTCATGAAGAGAAAGAGAGAGATAACATCCTTATCTGCAAAGCATCAAAGGAAATGCAGTCAATACTATATTAACACTGATGCTGTTTAGCATACAAGAGTCATGAAAAAAATATTTTCTTTGGCCTCAGAGTACAGTAAAAAGGGAACATTAATTGGTGCTGGTGACAAAAAAGCAGAGTCACAACGGTGGTGGCTAGAAACCAAGCTGCAATGCAAACTCTTCAAAGAAAAATTGGTTTAAATAGCTGAGTTGGGAAAATTTGGAAAAAAACCCAATAGCTTAAACATTCTTGGGTCAGAAAGAAAACTGTTGCAACACAGGTAATGCTCTCCTCCCTACCAAATTATTTAAATACACTTAGCTCTTCTTTAGTGCACACCACATTAAAGGTTTTAAGCCTTTTTGTTCACACCAAACAAGACAATATGCCCTGGCCTCTTGACTCCCACTGCTTCCTCAGCTCTGGTGATCAGCAAGGAGCTGGATATGTGTAGACACCACTGAACACCAACCTCCTCAAAGACACCAAAAAGACCTTTTCGACGTCTTTTGTTAGTTTCATTTTCTTCTGTTTTCCCTTCAACCTGAAACAGTAAAGTCAAAATAAGTTCTGCAGCAGTCACCAAGGATATTAACTTTCATAACCAGGCAAAATTGGTCTGATCTGTGTTAAACAAGGCAAACACAGGTGAGTGGTGCCAGTGTGCAGGGGTCCTCATGGCACAGAACGTCTTGGTAGGCACACCCAGCTCAGCATCATCATTCCTAGCACAAGGAGTGTGTTGGACCTTGTGGCAGCTACCACGTAAAAAAAAGTTGCCCTGTAACCCCAGACTGGGTGCTCTCACTGGACCCTGACGGGTGAAAATATGCACTTGTACATTTTGTTGAACCGAGGCCCAGCAATGTCAGTGTTTACCTTCTCCTTTTTCAGTACTGAAGAGTTTATAATTCATAAAGCACTAGCACATCTTTGAAGAAAAAGGCATTAGAGCACCAGTTGTGCTGTGAATTTTAATCTAGACTATGCTGGTTTCCAGATAAGTAACAAAATCCAGGCACCCCTCACTCTTTCAATACAGCCTCCACATCTCTTTTAACCTAGATATCTGCATGCAGATCATGAGTTCATAAGGCAGATGCATCTCCTTTTTTTGAGCAATTAATTGTCTGCATTAAAGGTCTCTCTCTCTTGTAAGGCTCATCTCCCTAACTATATGACCTTACATTACAGTGCAAACAGATTGCCTATTTTGTGCTTAAGTCATGCATTTATTTATGTCATATTTATTCTTTTTTTTGTGTAATCGCTAGTTCAGTAAAATAATACTTCATACTCAGTCCCCAAGAACTTGCAAAATAGTCAATGCTTAAAAATTTTTATCAGTTCTTATTGAATTCTGTTTTGAAGATTTGGTACAATGGAGAGTTTTTTTGTCTGATAAATGTCACATTATGTTATACTTTACAAACCATGAACTACAATTCCATTTATTTGCATTTGCCCAGGCTGTAACTTAATGATTGCCCACCCAATATAAAATAAAAAAAAAAAAATAAAAAAAAAAAATAGAGAAAGATCAAAGAATACAGGCTTCCTTTTTACATATAATACTGTTTGTAATAAATCATTATGCAGTGAACAGAAGCAATCCAAAACAACTTCTGGGTAAACAACAAAAGAATGAGATGACAATATTTTGATTACAATGTATGCTTTGGTACATTGTCTTTCAAGCACCAGCTCTCAGTAACCTAGCTTTACACTACCTATAGTCATTAGTCTACCAAGGAATAGTGAACAACATAATAGCATAATGTATTCTGCATAATAATATGTATTGCATAAAAGCAGAATTTGCCTAAATGAATGGAGCAAACAAGATGTTACCTTTCAAAAATCTTACACAAAGGACTTCCATTAACATACTTACAAAGAGGAGAAAAACAAAGCCATTTAATTGCCTACCAAAACTCAAAAAGGAAAAAAAAAAAAAATACTGTGCCCTTTATTGTGTAAACATTTCTATTCATTTACTAGTCTGGAGCACAGGAAACCTCAGTTCTCTCCCGCCCTGCTGACACTAGTAGCAGAATGTAAAACATCATCCAGCCCAGCCCTGCTGCCAGAACAGCTTCTGTCACACCAGCTCCAGGCCCTCCGTTCCTGCCCACTCACAACCTGTGCCCAGATAAGGATCCCACTTCCAGCCAAATGAAAGGACAAACTAGAAGGTATGGAGTGTTTACTTGGTGACACTGTTATGCTGGCTGGTTTCTGAGTCTGGACAATGCTCAGCACCACTTTTTGCAGGGGGAGAGCCAAAAAACTGAAGCCACACCCAAACTCTTAACTCAAGCAGTTGCCTTCCAAGGAGATTCATTTCCCATCTAGTTTCAGGGAGCTATGGCACTCACAAGTCTCTGTCCCAACCTGAGTACTGTCTTTCTTGCTTAGTTTTACATCCCAACCATCGCAGGCCTGCAACACCCATACAAAATTACATTCTGACAGTCCTGCTCCCCAAGCTGATTTGGAAAATATCGCTTCCACTTCTCATTTCAAATGAGCCCCTGTAGCCTGAAACCAAAGGGGCCTGTCAGGTAAATCATCTCATTCTTTCATGTAGTGCCAAGAACTGTACCTCCTGTTATGACAGAAGGCTTATTTCATGACAGGAGGTTAGTCTGAAGGTTGTAAGGCTTAGTAATGGAAAGCCCTCCTGACTACTAAAAGTCTGTTTCCTTCTGCAACTAACTGACGGGAAAGCAACAACACTGTGGTCATGAAAAAGGTTTTTCTTCTAAAGAAGTCACCCACAAGAAAAAGCAGTGTTTATGTTACCTATTTGGTTTCTCACTGCTGGGTTAGCTGGGAAACATGTCACTTGGTTTTGTGGGGGGTCAGAGGAGGCGGCAGGGAAAAGTTACTTCCTAACAGGGACATATGAGCTTACTAAGCAATTGACCATCCACAGGTTTTGAAAATGTATTTGTGGATGGAAAATATTCATCTAAGTCCGTGTAAGAAATATCTGGAAATACTGGAGTAATTCTTCAGGTGAAAAAAACTTTTCAAAAATCACATTTCTACAAAAACTGAGATGAGATAGAAACAAATTTTAAAAGCAATACATCAAAATACTGAGAAACACAGTACATACATGTACACTTGACCTTTTCTTAAGGACACAGAATTCCAAAAGAAGTAGGAAATATGTGCTTTTGCAAGCAAAACTTAAAGTCTCTGCATAGATGTAAATGAAACAATACAATTAAGCATTATGCAGGTCTGTTTAAAACAAACAAACAAACAAAACAACAAAACACAGAAAGAAAACAAACAAACCAATGCAAACAGACAAAACAAAAAAAACCACAAGAACATGAGAACCATCCTAGTTGACATGCAGTTTCTGGCTAGCCCAGGAAACACAAAACCTAGAACAGTTTTGCAAAATAAACCCCGTTTTAAAAAATGCAGAAGAAATTCATTTTGGTGGAGGAGTACAAGCTACTGTCTAACTTGTGCTGGTTAATCTGCAAAAGTTGTACTTGAGACACTGCTGCCTCTGAGTCACGTTGTGCAGCCACTCCTCATTTAAACTGAAGTTAAAATGAAGGTAGGTTTGGCTGTGAAACCAAAGCCCCTCCCTCAAGGTCTCCTTTCAGAATAGGACCAAGTTAATGAATAGGCAGGAGGTGAGACAGTTTATTACTGAATAGTTTCATTAGAGTAACTTTTACATTAAATCATATAAAATCTTTGAAGTTATAATCCATTCAGAAACACACAAACAACACTCTCACTGCAGGCAGTCCTATGCTAGACAGTATTAGCTCAGGTCTCTATTGCCCTTCAAGGCCCCAGAGCCTTTAATTGCAACATACATGGGCATGGATGTGTTTTACACGAGGACATAAAGAGAGCATGTCAATAAATTTTCATTAATAAGTGACCAAGACAGAAAAGTATATGGGTATGACTAAGAGATCATTATCTCTGTCATGCTAGTCAACCTGCCCACTGTGTCACTACTGCACCATTTATACATTTACAAGGCTTTGAAAGCTTCCACAAACTGTTCAAATCACTGCTTTGGTTGAAAACCAGCACTCCCTCCCAGTCAATAACCATTCTAGCTATCTATCAGTGACTATCTGAATTAATAAATAGTATTATGGCTGTATACTTACTCTAGTAATACAGAACTACAGTACTGTTTTTCTTCAAGGTAGAAATAGCTCAGGAAGATTCCAGACTTTTCTATCTCAACAAAACCCCACCCAAAGCCCCCACAAAAGAAAAATGGAAAAAAACAAACCAAAACAAACAAACAAAATAATAGCATCTAGCATTACACAAAATCTCCTAAAAAAAACTTTAAAAAAATTCTCAAAAAATAAAACATAAAAGTCTATACTTTTATATACATAAAATATATGTAACAAGAGCCAAGATTTCAAATATTTCAAGTTGAAATGGCAACTAATAAACACAAGTAAAAGACCTACCTCCTCTCACTTTTACCTACACTGAAGAAGAGTGACATGGACAATGGATATTCTCCCTCAGGTAGCCCCAAATTCTCACAGTGATTCCAAATTTTGCATTTACAGAGAATGCTTAACTGGGACTATTACTAACGCTTCAGTAATTTGACACTGACAGTGCTTCAGTTTTATCCTTACAAACATAATGATCAAATGTGCACGTGTGTGTTAGCTTTGTTTCCTGTGAGATCTTACTTTACCTTCTTAATATGCTCAAAAATCTCATTCTACAGGTCTTTTAACAGTAGAATACATATAAACTCCTTTTTTTTCTGAGCCTGACAGCTTATCTTCATCTTTTTAAAAGGAAAGATTTATAGGGCAAGTCTTTCTTCACAACCTACCTTTGGTACTCGTTTTCTTGGTAAAGTTAAATTGATATAATTATTAAAGATGAAGTTTGATGATTTTGCTGAACAAAGGTCATTATTTTCTCCATTTTGCTTGTCGCCAGCATCTGTCCAAAAAAACCAAATGCTTAGGACATTTATTCAAATTTTTATAAAAAATACTTTGACTAAGCCAAAACTTTCCAGTTGAGTGCTGGTAGCATTTATATATAAGAAACCCAAGCAAATATAAGTAGAGACATACAACGTAGGGTAACTTTTTAAAAAAGGACAAGAAACACCCAGGAATGGACATGCCATATGCAGTCATCCTTACCAGAGAATTACTCTAATGACCTGATACATGAACCTCATGATGTCAGGCATAACAGTTATCCAGCTGCTCCTGTTCTCTGAAACCACCAAGGACCTACAAAACCCTGGTCTTCAGTCAAGTTTTCCTTCCTTTCCTTTTTTTAAGCACAAGGTAACCATTGCAGACAGAAACAGGCACGCTCGCGTGCCAGAATAGCTCAGCTGGCAAAGGGCTCCTGGTTCAAGAGCAGTGCTCATAAGCAGCCTGGATGAAGTGTTTCCGCTCCCCAAACTTGCAAGAACAAGGAGCAGTCCAGGTTTGACTTACCTACTGCCTGCAGAGGTGTGCCCCTGAACAGTTCATAAAATTTGGAGAGGTACATGACCATGCTGAGCTTGTCGGGCTCCTTCTTTCCCTGTGGTCACAGGGGGAATCCCAAATTCCTGCTCTGCAACATCAAATGCCAGCTGGTTGTTTTTGACAACGTCCTCTTCGTTCAGAGCATCAAAGTCACTGTGGGTACAACACACTGGGATCAGTGGTGGTTTGCTCTCTGCCACCCTCCAAAACAGCACCATGAACGGGGCACAGGCACCTCCCTCGGACAAAGCTACAGAGTCCACACAATGCCAAAGGTAAAAGTCTCATAAAAATCCTGTGATTACAAATCCTGGCTTTGCGAGAAATGTAATTTAAAAGTGATTTCACTGAACCAGATTTTGGTGTAGCCCCATGAAAAAGGACTCACTTATTTGAGAAGAAATGCAATTCCTCCTCAGAAGTGCTAAGGAACACTTCCAAATACAGCTGTGGTACTACAGATGACACCTGCAAGGAACAGACTTTTTAGTTGCTATTAGTTCTATAAATCATAAGAATCATTAGGAGTAAAATTAAACTAGCACCTTATGAAACAAACATGTCATGTGTGCACATAGAGGCATGACACTTCTGTTTAAAGTGTTACACAGTTTGAAAGAGGACCTCTTGTCTGTGTCATAACCAGATTTAGCAGTGCACTAAATAAGTACATCACACATCTGGAACTGCATTATCCATGCTCTAATCCATTTTCTATGGGACCCGTTCTAAGGCTCTGATCCCTTGAACAGCTTCCAAAATTCATGATTAAAATAAACATGTCAATAAACCACAAAGTTCCAGGCAGGGCAGTTTCGTTCTCCTCATAAGGAATGTGAGGTTTTGAACTCACAAAGAATTCCTGTCTACCCCTCCCACCCACCCACTCTCTGGAGCCAGGGGGCTGCAGACAGCCCTCTGTCCCAGCCCTGCCTGCAGCTATCGGCAGCCACCTCTCTTGCTTTACCAGCTTTCATCTGGCCAATCCTTCAGCAGTCCCATTTATACAAAAAGCCAACAATATCCAAACACAATGTCAATTAAACAGCAGGAGGTCTGTTAGCTCAGGAAGATAAATCTCTCAACTTTCTAGAGAGAGCAGCACTTAAGAGATACGCTTTCCATAGACAGCAAAGATTGCTTTGCTTCTACACTCTCTCTCCCCACCTGATACCCACAAAACCATCCATAATTCCCATTTCTTTTAATAACCCGAGGCAAAAAAATCTCTTATTCTTACAACATTTGTTCTTCCTCTGGAAAAGCTGCAGAAACAAGAGCTGAGTATCACTCCTATTTTTCCCAACTTACCACACCTCATAAAAGAGCTCAGTAATTTCTTTCATTTAAAATTTCATTTATCATTTATTCATTTCATTGTCAAAAGGAGGCTGACAATAACTAATGACTCCTAAATCTGTGCAGGAAGGTAAGAGAATGCGTCTGCTGCATTTTGGAGACAGAAGGGTCATCCCACCACAAACTGCATCAAGCAGGCCCAGTAACCCAGTGCCAGCAATTGCCGTTTCATGACACTTGTTATACTCTGACCCTCTTGTATCTAACAAAGGAACCTTACAAAATACTAATATTAAGAAGTTCGGTCTTGTAGGATTAGGACCCCAGAAACACTGTCAAAAGGGGAATGCTAGCTTCCATTCAATCCCTAATGCAGTTAATTCTCAAGGGCTGGCCTTTGTTCCACAGCCCATGTGCAAGGACACTGTGCTCTTCTGGACGAAGGGTTGTATAAAACCACTGTTTCCTGTAGACCTCCATGGCCCAACATCTTACTACATGACCGTCACAGAAACCACTACAACACACTGGGAGTGGCTAATTTAAGGCCCATCCGGGTATTTCTGTGACTCATGACAGTGTCATTGTGGCTGTGGTTTTAAACATATACTAAAAACCTGTCTCCAGGATCCTGGGAATACAGCTCTCACATTCTTCAAGCACTGCAATTTTTGTTTTAAATCACCACGTGGTTCCCACAAACATGATCGTAAGTCATAAGGTTCAAAGCCTTCCAGATCTCTGAAAGCATATATATTTCATTTTAAATGGCATGCAAGGACATGGATGAAAAAACAAAGCAAGAACTACCCACCCTCTCCATCCCCTGAACCTGGCACTGGTGTGCACCTCCTTGCAAAAAAAGCAGCAATATAATGGGACTGCAGAGTATTAGTGTTGTTCTGGTTGGTCTGACACTATCCTCCAGTAAATGCTTAATATATCCTATGCTCGACAAGATCTACAGATGTCACTTACATGAGGTCAGGTCTGAAGCGATGGATAATCGCACACAACGCAAGGCCACTTTTCCAGGAGCTGGTCAGGTCTGTGACATTGACGTTGCGGTACCCTTCTGTCTGTTTCTGACACCAGGTCAAAAGCTTGTTAGGTCGAATATCTGACTCTGCAGTTACAGTGGAGAGCAAACATTTCAATCAGTTTTTGCATGCTCAGAAGGCTGCAAATACTAAGCTCCAGCAAACATGAGATATCACATACCACGTCTTGAGAGATTCACTGATCTTCTAATGGAGCTTACTCTTTCAAGAGGACACTGTTGTAACTCATTAGTAACGTATAATTGTCTCACCTACAAGTAAAAGTAATTTGCAGCACAATGTTAGAATTATTTTGAGAGGAAAAAAGAGGGTTTTTTTCCTAGGTTAATATTATCAACAGCTGGATCTAAATTAAGGACTCTCCTGATGATTTTGTTTATGCAATACTTGTGGCCCTATTTCTCCTGGACAAAAAAACAACAGCCCTGTGATTTCACAAGCAAGCCTTTTAAATACTGACCTGGTGAGGTCGAACACAGCTTGAGTTCAAGTTCGGGTATCTTGTTCCTGGGTCAATGGTATACTGGTCAAAGTTCTTGTTAATATTTTCAGGGGTAGTCTGAGGCAAGAGTCGATAAATGCTCTCTCTTATAGAGAAGAAAGATGCAAAAGATATTGATTAAAAGATATATTTATTATATAAAGAGTATGGCATAGGATTTTTTTGTTGTTGTGTTTTTTTTTTTTCCCCCCCTTTTTCAGCTACCTGCACATTATTTTAATTCTGCCAGGACAAGTGTTATGCACTAAATGTGTAATGCATCTATCCCATTTCTTATCTTTGCTCATCAGGGGAAGGATGCCAGACAGAAGGACAACAAAAAGACAGACTCTTAGAACTTGTGCCCACATTTTCCTGAGGCAGGAAGTGAGCAAGAAAAAAGAAAAAAAAAATTAAAAGGAGGTTACAACATCCAGTCATCTGGTTTTGCTTTAAGTTCCACCCAAGGAGTAACTTCTTTACCACATAACAGCACTAAATCTCATAATTCTGCAATTCCTATAACTGCCACAGCCTTTTATACTATGCTGTTCAATTTTCCATTTGGGACTATGCTGTGTTTGAGTCATCTCTCAGGCTTCTGTTTTAAAAATTCTCAAAGCACTGAACTTAGTAATGCTTCCACTTGCATTACCACAAGCACGACTATTTCTATTGCGTGTCTGTCCCGAAACAGTCTGGGCAGCTGCAGTGAGGCAGGGCAGTTACTATTAGGACCAAAGTCAGCAACTTCAACCATCAGACCATGGCGACACCAGGGCTGCTGGTGTATTTAACAGATCTTTTCTATGCAATGCCTTTTTGACCAGAGGAAAAATTTATGATGTAGCATTATTACAGCAGTCCTCTTTTGCCATGCATTTCTCAGTCTAAATAATGAGGACATCAGGGATACTAAGGTAAAACATGGAGTTAAAACCACAGATACCAACTATGAAAGCTACTAGTGTTAAAGTATTTTATTCAGACTTGTTTCAGGAATTTTTTTTAAACTAAAAAAACAGGTGCTGAGATGGTTGGAATGTTAGTCTTTGGACACAGGTATTTTTGGTTTATTGATCACACTTAATTCTCATCACTAGTGACTTAAATTAGTGATTTAAACCCATCTCATGCACATCACTGGATCTCTGTATTGGTGTGTAGAAGCTCGGCCTACTGCTGCGTAAATTGTTCAGTAACCTGAAGGAATAGGCAATTTCAACACAGTGCCATTGCAGTGAAGAAGAACACGTCTCCTGTCAGCATTCTGAATTCCACTGCCTTCTACCACTACTGAAACTCTTCAAACCACCGGAAATGATGGAGGAGACAAAAGCAGCACTCACCGTTCAGCAAGGATTTCTAACGGGGGTTTTCCTTGAGCCCAGCTCCGCACCATCCACGCAGTATCAAAAGCAGCTAAGAAGCCTCTTGCACAGCCTGTACCCATGGGCCAGAAGGGCTGTAAGAAGCATTTACATTTTAATTTCTTGTACTTCTTAAGGTCTTATTACAAAAGTAACTTGCAATGTGAGTTTAGGGTTTTATAAAAACTGTCTTATAAAAGTAGCCCAGAAAGATATAAGATACAACACGGCCAACTCTTGTAGTTTTGAGACACTTCTCTCCTCCAAGCCTAAGGTAACACAAAAGGCTGCTTCCACATTTTCCTTTAATTTCTATATTTAAAAACAAACTTCTTAACCACAAAAGGTAAAAGCTGAGTGTAAAAAAATAAAAAAAAAGAAACTCAATAGTGACGGAAAAAAAGATACTTTTCTTCTCATCTCCTAATTTTGCTTCGGACAGATCTTTCAACAAACTTCAGGCTGTCAGCATGAGTTGAAAAAAAACAAAACCAGTTGCAACATACATTTTTCACTCCAGTAAGACAAAACCTGAACATATTAAAGCAAAGAGAGTGCAACAAAAATTTGGACCAAGGTTTTGCCTGTGATGAAAATCAGGAAAACTATGCCATGCACCCACTCTGAGGACACACAGCTCACTGTTTTCAGGCAGAAATACAACTTGCATTAAGCAAAACAGGATCACATCCAGCGACCAAGCATTAGTTATGACATAACTATGGCATATAAAAAAAAAGCAAAACTATTCCAAAGAAGGTAACATTGTTTCAGGACTTGTAAGAGATAACAGTTTGTTTCGGAGTGTAGATTAAACAGCTGGTTTAAGGAGATTGAAAAAAAAAAAAAAGACCACTTGGTCACTAAGATATACCTCAAGCAAACTATCTCCGACAAGTGCCACCAGGAGCTGATGTCTGTGCCTTTCTCTCACTAGTGCAGCATTTTCAGATGCATACATGGAAGTAAAATCAAACATTGCTACATCTGGTTGCCCATAGTGATTAATTGCAAAATCCAAGGAAGGCAGCTGGTAATTGGTTGCAAAGTCAGCAGCTTCTCTGGCATAGGACAGCAAATTGCTCTGGTTCACATTTTCCCCACAGAGGAGCAACTCCGTATCAACATAATCCTGCAAGGACAGAAACAGGCAGAATTAGATACTTTAACTGTCCCCTGTGGCTTGGAACATTGCAGTCTCATAGCACCAGTGTGCCAATTACACATCTCACAGCACAAAGAACCAAATGAGATTTGTCACCTCCTCCAAAAAGTTAATGCACAAATATAGGTTACTGTACCACCCCAAACAGGAACTCTCTATGTCAACACTGAATAAGCAGCTTTTTTTGCAATAGAAGATTATAGTGCCTCCCAGTTCCTCAGTTATGGGCTATTTCCCTAACATTTTTGAACTCCTATCAAAAAACGTTATCATCACTGCAATGCTTTCCTGCATGTGTGCACCCCACGTCTGAAACCACAGAGTGCAGAAATACCAGTGTACCAATGACATAACAGGGGCTCACCCTGAAAGTTTGACTTAGCACCTCAGTATCAATACATCCAAACTTGGACTGCAGAAGATTTTCTGCTTTCTGCTTTGGGCTGGGGTTTTTTTGGCCTTTGTGGTAAAAGACCCTGCCTTTACAGGTCATCCTACTTAAAGCCAGTGATCATTAATACGGTGGTTTCTATTTACAGCTTAATCATGGATGAGGCCCCTAATCGCCAGGATGATGCCACAGAACTGCTATTAGCCCAGTTGTTTTAGACAGACTGGTGGCTTTGTTTTGTTTTCCACTCAGACCTGAGCAGGTCAGGAAAACAGCTCTGATAGGCCACAGTTGCTGCTCCTCTTTTCCAAAGCCTCTGCAGATCTCCTGGGACTGCATCCATCTACAAATACCAGCCCCTCAACCCCAGGACCCATCTCCCACTCTCCCCCTCAAGCACTGGTGGGAGGTGCCACCCTTCCACTCTCCCACCCCAGCCGGGCAAGGCCAATGGCTCTGTCCTTTGGAGATCCCGTCCTCCAAAGGGACAGGACATCGTGGCACTGGGCTTAATGGTCCCATCAGAAAGCCAAGAAGCTTTCTGATAACTCACCACAAGTACTTCCTTCGGGAAATTATACTGAACTGTTTTGGCACTGTCTTACTCTGCAAGGAAAATTGACCTCTCGGGTTTCAAGGAAGAGAAATTTAAATGGTGCCAAAACACTTTCTAGAAACAAAAGAAAACAAAACCTTACATCTTACAGAAGGGGGGGAGGAGAAGAAAAAGGGAAAAAAAAATGTCCTTCAAGTCCCATGCACTTTTGAAAGGCCGTCGCCTGGGGTAGGTTTTAATACTCCCTTATTTGCCTGATAAAACTGGACATAGTTGAGTTCTTTAAATAAATGAGGTTTTTATTTTCTGGTGTGATGACCACACCACATATTTCCAAGGTGAGTCAAGAACCCCTTTCAGCCAGTTTCAGAACAGACAAATTCAGGAAGTATTGTTTTCAGTTCTCTACAGAAACTTTCTACTGACTGCAGGGAAAAACAAACAAACAGAAAAGTCAGAGTAAGATCTAAGTCATCTGAGCTCTAATGAAGTGATCTAGTAAGTCACAACATTAATTGATGAGGGGTGA